TTACTAGATAATTTTGCTTTTCTCCTCTCATTAGTCTTTATATGATGCTCTTGTTATACCCAAAAATAGAATTTTCTAATATCACAGCAGCATGCTTTATATTGTGTTTATGTATATTATTGTGCAAAAAATGCACACGTAAGAATATAAAAGCTAATTGTAAGCTTAACCTAGATTGCCTTTCTCAGGCTTAGCTACTTACTGCTGCCTAATACGAAAGACGAGCCTGTAGCGCCAGGGTATTCGCTGTTAGTCATTAAACGAACATGAAATTGGGTATAGGTAGTCGTACGGTAACATCCTCGTTAGTTGCCTCGGCATAAAAAGCCCGAAAATTATGACAGAAAAGCTTTGACACATTCAAAATGTCCAGTGGTCCTCTAAACTGTGACTGTGCCCCATTGAGACAGCCTAATATTTTCTAGCGGTGTCTAGATATTCCAACCTAAACAGGCGCTTGCCATGCCATTTCCCAGCGGGAAAACTTCGAAACTAAGTTTATCAAGACCCCGTCCGGTTAGGCCCCCTAACAGGGGCAAGTCCTTCACACCGTACCTAAAAATAGGTGATTCCAAAAACTTGTTTGCTCATGATGAATATCTGGTAGAGCCGAAAATTAAAGAAACAACAAAGCTCATACGCCTTGCAGCCGTGCGAAGCTGACCCAAGCTTAACTGCAGCCCAACAAATCTGTATCGTTTTTTAAACCAAAATCAGAGTTAGCGGCTGTGCAATATTATATATAACACTATATAATGATTGTGTATGACATTTGAATAGTACGCGAGACTTTAGTTCAGTAAGATCCTCTAATATTGTATCTCGTTTATTTATTACTATTTAGTCGAACATATGTTACAGCCGCAAGGGAAAAAAGGAGTCCTGTCACCTTCGCTGATATAGCCCAGTTGTAGGGCTCCATCACGCTTGTATCATCGATGTGGGCGAGGGCTGGTCGACCCTTTGCCCCTTGTTCGCAAAGTACTCCCATGTGCTCGCTGTGATTCTCTGACACACAAAAGTAGTTGAAGTTATTGTCTTCCGCCGAGAGTGTAGGGAGATTGTCCGCTCAACGCTCTATCACTTCTGCTGCTACTACACAACTCCCAGTCCTTCCTTTCTCGAACAAATCGCAGCCGCGTGTCGACATCAAGTTCTCCTCCAACGAGTGCGTATATCTCTCTGGCCTCCATTTTGACTTTTTGCCCTTTACAACAATCCCATCCCGGTCGGCGTTACAGACGCTACTATCATTGTTGCCGGCACCGGTATCGGCCCGTGTTAGCTGATGTCGGTCGGTCTGCCTGTTTATCTGGCTAGCTGGGCGACGGGAAAAGCTTAGTAGAACTTTACCATTTACCAGCATTAGCGTATTCTGATTCAGCTCTTGCCTGGTCTGTTCCATGTCACCGTGAGCTCTGAACGTCTGTCATTAGGCTTTCTCTCTCCTCCTGACTGACTAATAGAGAGAGAAGCTTCATGGAGGAGAAGTGAGCAAGACTTCCCTTGATAGAAACCCTCGTCTGTTCAAGACAGACCTCCCATGCCAGGAACCAAAAACTGTCCTGATTATATTTTGCGGGAGCCCATTGCATGATCCCAACAGCTACCAGACACTTGCTGTTACTTTAAAATAATGCTATAAAACTTGCTATTTGTTTTGAGTGCGTAAAGTCAAATACTGATCCATTGCGTCTAGCACACATACATGTGAATATTATAAACCTATTGTTTACATACAGCAGTCGTATAAACGTCGAATCTGTCTAAACGCACATATGTACACCTTGTTACAACAGATTCAAACGAAGGATTACCACTCGCGAACGGAAAGGTAAAAATATCCGACCAATTTGTTATGAGTGGTACGCCCTCGGACAGACGGCTACGGATCGATTCGTTCGACCGGAGGAGCCAGACCACTCGCCAGTGACGGGGAGAAACAGGGAGAAAAAGGAAAAAAGAATCTACAAGAACAGAACATCGTCTTGACGATGACTAGTGCTGATGCCGCTGCCGTTGCCGTTGATGATGATAGTAATAACAGCACAAGCCGCCGATAACGACAAAGAACCGAGAAGAGTCGAGGATCCGGCTTTGCTGGGTCACGACGGTTACAGCGGAGGTATTATACTTCACGAAGAAAGAGCCATTCCGAACCAAGTCGAGCTGCGCCGACTCAAGTGGCCAGAGAGCTCAAGCAGTCGATAGTCAGGCTTCTTCTGCTGCCTCTAAACAACGACGTCTACATACCTTGAAAACATAAGTAAAAGGCAACAGGCCAACGGGCAGGCCGACACTTTTAGTTACCGATCACATTAGTATGGGACAAAGCTGGTCCCTATGCTATCTCATCTTCAACTTAAACATAAAACGACCTGGCGTATGTGCATTGTTAGAATAATGGGTGTTCTGCAATGTCTAATTGGAATTGATATATTAACAGTATTTACCAATGCAATAATGCCAAAAACAGTCCATGCTAAGGAACAAGGATGCGACTCCATAATTGTCCTCGGATCAACACTCAACAATGAATGAAGCTAGCGCTAGCGATAAGAATAGCTTGTCTTTGCTCACGGCTAGTGAAAACAAGTCATCGCGTGGAGTAAAGCTGACTCACGACAATCATAGTGGGGCTTCAAAGAAGCGCGGCGCCAAGTGAACTGCCCCACGCTAGAACGACCCCAGATCCTACTGCTCCGCATATTGCGACGCCGATGACAACGTCAAAGACGACGACAACGACGGCGATGCCGTGAGCCTCCTAAGAGAAGCAGCAAAAACAGGCAACTAAGCCAACTGGCTAACTGGTTTGCTCCTTTTCGTCGAAAAGCGTCTTGCGCGTTCACAAATATCGGGATGCAGGCACGCACACAGAGATATAAACAGACATATACGAACATTGGAGCCCACACAGACAGACATCTACTAGCATAGCTATATAGACAGATCGAAAGGAAGAAAGACAGATACACAGAGACAGGTCTACGCGGCGGCGGCGGCGGCGGCAGCAGCAGCGCCGGTAGCGATGATGGTGATGACGACGGCGTTGTTGCTTGCTTACTTTAGACAGATCACATCTATGTATCGCATAATTCACAGATTCACGCTTGATGGCCACGCCAGTCTCCTGTCGTTTGTTCACGCCGCGTGTAGAGGAATGGGCTGGATAAACGTCACACCGTCGCTTGAAGCGAGACGAAGCCTGGCCACAGACATTAACATTGCCAGCTAGTGTGAACTACGCAACATCGCAGTGGCCGCTACAGCCGTCGCTAGTATCGTAGAAGACACTAATACAGTACCGTTCAAAGACACATTGTCGTGACGGGCACGCGTAGAGTGTTCCTAGCTAACATATCGAGCCAACGCTACATCCTACTTGTCTACGAGAGTTTATTATTATCTCATGTTACCTTCTTGCCCGCGAAGATCTGAAACACAGGCCAGGTCTATTTGTAAAAATAAGGCAATAGCTGATCTAGGAAAAATTTTCTTTTTCATTTGGATAATTCAAATACGCTAATCCGTATGAGTTAGATAAGCTATAGATGTATCGTGATTTCCAAAACTAAATACAATAAGAACACTGTCCAGAAGTAGCAGCGGGCTATCGGTTCTGTGGAAACCCTAAATTCGAAATCGATTGAAATACGCAAACGGAAAATTGGTTTCACTAACATGTCAGCTCTCGCAGACCTCGTGCTTTGAAGAAAACCGTGAATTAAGTTGTTGCATGTAATTTTAAAACTTTTGTTCCCTATCTCGGTTTAGTCAGTGGTTAGCTGGACAATTGCTAGGCAAGATTTACAATATATATATACTCCACATTTTGAACGGTCATATTGCTATGATTTTAAAAGCGATAGTTGGATGGTAGATCAACTGGTATGGTTTACGCAGTTATATTGGGAGGCCAATGAGAAAAAACTCGCAGGTTCTCGTTCAAGAAATTTTCAAATAAGTAGATAATACTTAGAATGCTCCCGCATGAACATTATATATATATATATATGCATAAAATGCAATGTTTAAATTAGTTTTAGCGGCGCTCGCAGAAAAACCAGCCGCTGCCATTTTTCTGCTCTTAATTGATATATTTTTATATTATGATTATTGATATTCGTGCATTGTCGCGAGCAGCGTCCCAAATAAACTAAAATTTTCCAGAATCACACTTGCATATTGGCTGAATTCCGTGTTTATTCTGGTTCTGATTCAAAAGAATACGTCTCTAGTTTATGTATTCTGCGCTTTGCCATTTGGCATCACTCCTATACTCCCCCTATTACTTAGACATATACAGCTCACCTATGACTATAAGTAGCAGAACAAAGCGAAGGGAGTGCGTGCGTTTTTTAGCCAAGAGAGGTACTGGATAATAACAACAATATCTAAAAAAGAAGAGGTAGATAAGCACGGCAGCTACAATTACCGTTACCGACAGACGGCAATGAAATATTATTGATGCAGAAGAAAATAGCTGGGGCACGGGCTCACGGACGCCCAGTGCGTGCACTCGTGCATTTCAAATCTTTCAGCTGCTTTAGGCGCTAAATGTGGATGAAAAATACTTAAACTTTATTTGTGTGTTCAGAATAAGGTACCATTGTTGACCGTTTCCGATAAGTGTAAGTGATAGTGAAAAGCGCGTACGCATGTTCGAATTTGACAATGATCTATAAGCAAAGGAGTGGGTGAACAGGCAAAATGGCGATGGAAACTGCTGCAGTGCACTTCCTTTATTCTCTTATAAATGATCTATGACGCACGTTTATTCATTTGTTACGTCTCGGTCACGTTTGTCCGCGTCCCTTTAATTTATAGTTAAGTACAGCATACTATGTCTATGCTCACGGTTCATGAATGGTGTGTATATAATAACTTGTCCAATCATGCGTTCGTTTGTTCCCGCGAGTATCGTTTAATCGGAAACGCTCATATTGTTCTTCTAGGTTTATATTTACAAGAGTACCTTTGCTCTCGATCAGTCTTACCTGGGCGATGTAACCCCGTAGATAATCATCATAGGTCCATCCGAAGGCGCCTAGAACTTGTTTAACGTCGTCATGCGGAAGGGCACCGAGAAGACGATCTAGGAGAATTTTCAGTCTCACAGGAATGGCGCATGTACCGTAAAGCACGAGCGATGCCACCTCGAGGACAGTTCCTGCTTTTGCGGGCTCAACCGGTGGAAGAGCGAGCCCAACTGGTGAGCGCGCACGAGAGTTCACGGCTACTTTGTCTGCAACATTCAAATCAATACAACATATGCGTTATATGTTACGAGGCTTGTACTACTGACTGTCATGTAGAATATACTCGTAATCATATTGTCTACCACACAAGCTATTATCACTAAGAAGAACAACCGTAATGCCAATGGAACTTATTGGCCGCTCAAAATTATCGAAGGCCGAACTTGGTCCTGATCGAAAGCTCAGAAAAGACTTTTCTTCCGTGGTCATCATCATCATCATCATCATCATCGTCAAGGAGTGACATCGCCGGCAACACCACATCTGTACTTGTCGAACAAATTGAACATATCACACGCTTCTGAGAGACTGCTCCGTTCTTTTCACCGCTTACCCTCTGTGTCTGTGCGACGTTCGCGTGTGCAGTCAGCTAGCTCCTTAATAGCTACGTGTCAACTTCATGTTTAGTGAGCAAATGGAGCGGAACGCAACTCTAACAGCTCTCGGTATCAAGCCTTGATGATGATGGGCCGAAGCAGCAGCAGTAGAAACGGCGCTGGCGAAATGGGGGAGTGCTAGCCCTCAAGAAGTAGTGGCTGTGTGCGATAGTAGCTCACCCCAACAAAGCGAGGACTCGTTACGAGTTTTGGGCGGGTTGAGTTTGAAGCCCATTTGAAGTGGAGGTGTCGCATCTTGTCAGAGATGAGAATGTGTCATGAGGGGTTCATACCACGAAGCGGGCACGACTCGCATTCTGGTCGGTGTACGCGACGCTCTCTCCCTGTGTCCTTTTTTCTCTGGATTATTTCTACCTTCGCCATCATAATCATGCCCGTATCATGTTCATCTGTGGCATTTGCTTTCGCTGTTCCTGCAGCTACTGTCGCTGCCGTTGATACTTCTCGCATGTATATAGACGTGTGTGTGTGCGTATGTGATGACAAGCTGGTGGCTTGTAGCCAGTGTCATTGTGTCCTTTATTATTATTGTCGTCATCGTTGGCATCAGCTGATTGAGCTGCTGACGGCGATCGGATAGTCGTTCGCACTGGGAGCTCTGCCTGTCTCTAAATCGGCTGAACAAGAGGCCACCGATCGTGCCCAGTCGTATCGTGCCGTATGACAGTCGCAAGCACCAGTAGGACGTACGAAACAAACAGCAACTGCAGCAGCAACAACAGCGCCATTACTAGCGACAGCATTAGACGATCTAGTCGGGCAGTTGCCCAGTATAACCGCAGGAATTGACGACACTGGCCATGGGTAGGCAGAAGGCACACGGCTATTGCTACGGAGACGAATGAACGAACGAACGGACAAACAAGGTTGTTTCGTTGTGGTCGATTGATCTATCTGGCGGCAGGCAGCAGGAAGGCCTGCTAGCCGCTTAGCCATTGGTTGCCCTGTCGCTTCGTCGTCGATGCGATGCAGTATGGCGCCGATCGAGATGGATTGGGTAGAAGAGCCACGCATCCCTTCTCTAGCGCTTTATCGGTACACCACGATGACCACGAGGACGACGACGTTCGACGTGCCACACGACGGACACCGAGGTTCAACAACGACTTCGGCGGTGGCGGCGAAGCAGCAGCTACGATAACGACGTAGCCGTGGCCGCAACCACCACCACAGCGGTGATGAAGGACGAAGGTCAGCTAATTTCGCTCGCTGCCAAGGGTCACCATTCCAAGCGGCCAATGTATGGAGAACGGAGTATTGGCTGCCACGAATCTCATTGACATCAGTTGTGGCTGGTTTTACGTAGCTGATGCCAATATTGCCGCAGCTAGCAGCGGCAGGACATGGCGTCGGCTGGTATCGTGGCTACATCGGCTTGGCTTTTGGGGAGCCGCTGTTGTTGTATGAACTGCTGCTATTGCTGGAACATATGCGCTCATCGCCACCACAGACGCTGCAGATCAGATTCAACTTTACTCGCCACATCGGCAAATCGTTCGATGGCCACCATACGCCCCGTACGTATTCACAGCAACAGCTGCATCAGCAGTAGCTAACAGTTATTGGCAGACAGCAGCAGGAGGTGTAGCAATGAAAGCGCACAAAGAAGACACCCCAGACTGTCCACTAGCGGTGGTGGTGGACCAGGGAAGATGCAGCGCACGACGCGACCCCCGACCCTCTAATTGGCACCGCCAAGCAACCGACCGAGTGGCAGCGATGACCACGACGACTGCAGCAGGAAATGTAGTAGTAGTAGTATGCATATCGAAGACATCGATTTTGCCGATCCATCAGCTAAATGCACCAAGCCGTTGTTGTCTATTGCATAGCTGGTTAAGCGCTTATTCTCCGATACCCGACGGAAAAACTGATATACCGTAAGATCATCACGTGCCGTTAGTTGTGCCATCAGGGCTAGTAATAGTCAACCACTAAATAGAAGGGGAACGGTAGCCGTGACATGCATATATTTTTTTACAGCCGATAACACTTGCCTTCTAAATGTCTTGCGTTTTGATCTGATAATCTGTCAGTACCTATATATTATTGTTGAGTGTAGTCTGATGAGGATACGCTGTATCACATTCGACATAGTATCGACGATCTTTATAATAATGCCAGACTTACGTATATGATCATTATGACAAAATCGTACATCTTAAAATTACGGTCCCAAAGCGGAAAACAGCAATGGCGCAAACTGTTAGCCAAAAGAGTATTAAAAACACACACATACACCGCTAGTTCTTATTAGTGTAATGCGCCTTATGTGTGTAATGTGTGTGTGAGGCGCCAGTTAGGTTGAAATGTTTTTATTAACTTTAATATAAAGCCTCACATTCAAAGCTCGCATGCACTGTTGTCCTAATTATATCCTCTTGATTATACGATTAATATTTTGTTTAAAGTGTATCTGACCAACAAAACAGATGTTTGTCACCAGTCTCGCTCTGAAATTCGCTTATCAGCAACGCCTGATCGTTGCACCTGCAGTATACATACGTGAAATTCTTGTGTATTCTGGCCGATAAGAAGTCTTTTTGGAGCAGGAGCGCATAAAAGTAATTGGGCCCCAATGCGGGCGGGCCATTGCTTACGTTCGTTAACGTTCTGAGAGACATGCACCCCCTTTACTAAGGATCTTAGAGTTGTCAGTATTGCTGACGCTGTCGTTGCTATTTGACGAGGACGGACAGCCCATAGTAAATACTTATTTTGCACACAACACAACAATAATTATTGTATAAAGCTGTACCCACTGATGTCTAGCAAAATGTTGTATCTAATTATGAAAACATATAACCTAGGATAATGTACATATATTAAACGGCTCGTTATAGCTATTTGGGCAAGCAAAACTGTTCCCACTCTTTCTTTCAACATTTAACATTTTTCGCTTAAAACCGGTAGCTACCTTTAAAAAAAAAAGCATTTTACAGCATGGTATGTGTATGTGCTGCAGGTGAACATGCTGGAAACTGACAATGCGGCCTTCCCCACCTGCTTTTTGATCCCAGTCATTGACGTCGTCTACATAGCAAGCACCATAATCTCCACTAGAATCACTGCAAGCAGCATTATGATCGTGAAAATCATAATCATGGTGGTAGTGAAGGTGGCTGTATGATATAGAAATTTATAGGTTTGGGTGGTAGAACACAGCGCAGTTCTCTCTGGCCTCGTCTACGGCAGTTCGGCTCGCTGTCTACAAAGTGGTGGACGGTAGCGAAGGAGCGCGAGAGTGGCACGCCCATTGATAACGCATAAAACTGCATTAGGCTTGCTTGTCTGTCGCCGACCTGCTTGTCGGATGGCCTGCGCTATGCTGGAAGTCTGTAGGACGGCGTCATTGCCTGCCTGCCTGTCCGTTTGTTGCCCGGACCGGCTCGGCGGTCTCGGTTTGGCCTGACTCGCTCGCTCAAACGGCCGGCCAGCCAGCCGACCGTTGGCTGATGTTGATGGAGATTTGCCGCTGGTTGTTGTCCCCTGTCGTCTCGGGCTGTCCGGGCCCTAGCCCTATCGCGCGATTAGCGGCGCGTCCCTCTCCAGGTCCCGCCTCCCGAGGTCACTGTGTCCCCTCTCCTCTGGCCTCCCTAGGCCAGCCACCCAAGTGAGCTAGCTAGGCCAGCTAACCTCCAAACGAACAGCAATCTCCCACTGCCAGCTTGTCTTCGCTAACTCCACCAATATAAAGCTTATCCTCAATTCGTCCCCGTCAAGATGTTTTATGTTGTACTACTATGCTTACCTAAAAGTATTTATCTATGGAGATATCTAGAGTACATGTGAACTTTGTTACAGCTTTGACTTACTAATTCGATAGTCTCTCTTTGAGCTCGGACAAAATTTACACTGCCCAGATAAGTTGCACTTCTTTCTATAAAAGATTTGCCTTCGTCTATGTTACGAACTGCTAATTACGGAGCTGCTAAACAAACCACCAAACATCGGCAGCTTAAGTAGCTATTTGGGCATGTTCCAGTCACACTTAATTTTATAACTGCGTATAAATCTGTCAAAGAATAGCGTATGTTGGGATTCAACAAGTTATAATACGATCAATTGAAATATTAGTACGCCTATATCAGCCTTAAATGGTTACAAATTAAGCTATTGGTATAGATCCTATGTTAGAAGGGTACACGGGCTTATGATGTACATGTGTATATATGTACATATATAAGTCCTGCCAAGTATACTCGTTTGCGTTTTGCACTCTTGTAAGAAAATGGCAGAGTAAAATTGGACAATGTTGGTACGCGTTGTTCCACCTGCTTGTGTTTCGAAATCTCACATTGTGTCATTGTGGTTGTTCAGTTCTTACCGGTCGGTTGTTGTGACCTCATATTGTTAGTGAAATGGTGTTCCTGAGTGAGGTCTTCTGCTCGTCGAGGGGAGGCGACTCCTGAGGGGCTTGCTGTGGACCTCATGCTCCTAAGTGAGGAGCCCGGCGGTGCACTGTGCGACACTCGCACGTTACCCAAATCCGCCGAGCCTTCCTTGACGTCACTTCCACGGAGTACAACGACCTCCTGAATAATAGTTCGTCCTGTTCACACATCAACTCGTAGGCCGTCGTTCACACACACAGACACACACTTGTATTGCTGGATTCAGCTGAGGAAATCAGCTATTCTACCTGGTAACCCTTTACACTTCACACTTGAACCACCGTCGTCACAGAAGGCGATGACACATCCTCAATACACCCGCACCACGTCGTCACGTATAGCAGGATTGTAAAGGCGCTGGAGAGTGTCTTTGTAGTAACGCACACATATAACCGTCTCTAAATGCACTTTAGTCCAGGGTTTGTAAGTTGTGGATCGTGGTCTAACGATGACCTCGAGTGTTTGTTCTTGTCGTAGGTGTGGCGGGAGCGACGTTTGTTAGAGTTGCAGACCAGATTCCAGCTACGCCAGGTCTCCGACCTGCAGCTTTTTCCTTTTTTTAGTGAAAACCTGTTCCATCCAGCAACAGCGAAGGTGCACAACAAAATCAGGTGAAAACTATGGCACCTGGTTTTGAGCAGGATATGTGGGCAACATCACTGATTGACGGTTACTTTGGTGTTCATTTTGGGCGGGTCGTAGGGGGCAGAGGGCTTACTTTTTCCAGTAACCTCTTAGGCTAGCTCAAATTGATTCATCTCACCTTGAATTTCTTTCTCTGTTTCACTCTCTTTCCTTTTCCGTCTGTTGGCTGGCCTGTTCTATCGTGGCACACAAACACACACACGCGCGCACACACAATTAGTAGTCGCGGTAGCAGTATTCGTGTAGGTCGTACTTCAACTGTTTCGTAGTTGTCAACCCCCACGGTCGACAGTAGTGGACAACAGCGGCAGTAATCAGTAGGTGGGAAGTACGACAACGGCTATTGACTGACTAAGTCTACTGCTAGTGACAATTGTGCTAGTGGTACCTAGCTCTATTGGGTAGCAGCAGCAGCAGCAGCAGCAGCAGATAGGAAGAAGAGCACACACGGGACAAGAGCAGCGTCAACGCGCTGCCAGCTCGTCGTCCGGCGCACTCGCGCTATGAAATGTGACCAGGATCGGTCGCCTGGGTCCGGCCTGTCGCTCGATGTCCGTCCCCCGCGCGCGCTCACCGTTTCACAATTGGTCGCTTGCTCTCCCTCTCGCCACCCGCTGTCCAGGAGGCGGAGCTATGGTACGAGGGCGCAGACGCTAGGTGGCGCCACTGGTGAACATTGGATAGATACCGACACTTCTGTTCTATTCGCAGATGACACCAGGGATGAACCAAGCAGTTAACAAGCACACACTGCCTCAACTCGCCTCGCTCACTTCCCCACAGTGGCCATCACAGGCGCACAGCGACCCAGACGTACAGTGACCAATGAAGGGACGGACGACATGCAGAGCGTAAGCGGAACATACAGCTAGTCGGACCCCGACAACAATAACAGCAACCGAAATCAGACGACTGCCATTACTTGGATCGACTCATCGTGATGGCCGCACAGTCATATGCAGCCGCAGCGGAGTAGAGTAGAATAGAGTTTGTTAGTTTACGTTATCTCACCACCCTGTCCGATCTTTCTACCCATGTACCTACCCTTTTAATACGTCATATGTATACAACCTACCGTATCGTTTGCCCACTGCTTGTCCTCTCCGTCCGTCCTTCTCTCTATACGTGTGATTTTTTCAGCTGGTTTTGTTCTGTTTACTATTGAACGCGCTGTGGGCACATTTCGGCCTGCACTTATTTACTATTAGAAGGGTTATTATATTCAGACCGCTGCGAATAGTAGGCGCGGTTCAGTACCACAAATGTCATTTGTATTTTATGGAGATTGAGCTTTCTGCTGAATTCCACCGACTTCTTCGATTCACGGGAGAGCTCCCTTAATGGGAAAACTTTTCTAGGAAAACGTAACAATCGATGATCATTCCAGCGGAGTTTAGAGACTAACTGCAACTCTAAAACACCACCATTGTCTCTCAAGTTCAAATAAGTGATCATTTACATAGTCAAATGCGACGCAAAAACGACTCTTACTTTGATAACGATTAAGTGCTTAACTTAGCCACTATATTTAGGTACACACCTGAAAATGAAGCTATAACGTTAACGGCATTTCTGTTTCTGCCAACTGCGCTCTACGGCAGATCTTATTGTGTTAATAGGATCCTAAGAGAAGGTTCTTAGATCTAAACGGTTGCGGAGCGATACATTCTTCAAGTGAGCCCCCTTGTCAACCCACTGCAGCACGCGTGAGTGCAAATCATCTTGAAAGAATAATTACATGTATGTAAATGTCTGTTGGTACGGAAAGGTTTCAGAGAACGGAGAAATTATGGCAAAATATTGGAGTTGGAAGGACACTTATACCGAAGCTCTAATCACCATATGAATTTTTCGAAAACAATAAATTCTTGGAGTTGAAATCGCGTTCAATGGTCGCAATGTTCTAGCCTATTTCTAATTCTCATCACTACTCCCGAACATAGTAGTAGCTCAGCTTTGAACGGCAATACGGGACGATCGCTGATTGCAATTGTCTGAGGACGCCGACTACATGTCGTTTGCTGCAAGTCTGGATCTAGTTCCCTATATGACAAGAGCCATTTAAACAAAATTTGGCACCCAGAATAGCGACTGGAGCAAGCACGAGGTTTGCCGGTTCTTCTGTCCCTAGCCTTTTACCAGATACAACAGATGAGCAAGCTTCAGCTGTAGCTCACTCAAAGCTAGCTTACTCACCATAGCATCTGGCACAGCAAAGAGGCGGTGACTATCGACTGATCATCTTTATCAGCAAATTAGTACACAGAAACGACATGTTAAACCGATTATGTTGATGACGAAAAAGAGTGGAAGACGTCAGGCGGACGACCCTAACAAGTCCTCTAGAGCTCCGACTGCTAAACATATGTTGAACAAATTAAGCAATGAAGAAAATTTACATTTAATTCACATGTGTCATACGAGCTCTGCCTTCGCTATAGGACCAGCTATTTTTCTCCTGCTACACACCAATGCACGCAACGTGCGCAAAAAACAACCCTCTTTGTCTAGAGCCTAAATGGTATCTACGTTTTTTAAAGCCGTTCCGATTGGATGATCCAGTATTTGATACACCTAATAACTATTTTGATTAAGTTGTGTAAGAAGTGCGGATGTATTATAAGAGGGGATATAAGAGTTAGTCCGTAAAAAATTTCTTTCTCGGCACATGCACCATACGCGAAGCCGTTTGTCCATAGCTCTGGCGCCCAGGTCTGAAATGTCCCTAAAGAAGCAAACCACTATTTGTACAATGCTTTGTCCGCTCCTCATTAATCACTCTTTTATCATTTGCTCTATAAAGCCAGTTAATGTCCGACTACTGGAGCTCTAGTTCTTCAAAATCATTCTATTCTTTCTCGCATTAAGACCCCACGTATCGCCGCAAATGCTAGGCTACGTTGATAGCTTCGCAGCGCACATGAGACTTTCGTTCTAAAGCATAAAAGGCACCAAAAAGCGCTCGTTTCCGTTCATGGGTAATTCGATGGTTTTCATCCTGTCAAGAATTTTCGCGTGTCCAGTCTCTACTCTATTGCGGTGGTCCTGTTATGGTGACCCTGCTTAGTTCACTCAACTACCCCTTCCAGGGCAAAGCCGCTTCCATGATACACATACTAACATGCTTTGTTTACTAAAAAGCAGTCCATTGATCCCGAAAAAAATCAATCTGCAGATCAAACTCACGCGTCTAGTTACCCACTATTCATCGCATATATTTCCGGGCATAATACAAGGTTAAAGAAGGTGAACCATCCAGTGAATCACGGCAAACCTAACTAGCAAACATCCAGCTCTGTTCTCTTCTAGTCGTTTTCATCACCAAGGACAGTAAGTATTTAACGCCCGTTTCAACTTATACTTCCTTATATATAGTACAGAAACGTCCAGGTCAGCGCGCGGGCTAGTGTACAAGGTCAATAGGCAATCACGGTGTCAATTGTTGAAGCGAAAAAAAGGAACAGATCCGATCTTTGTTGGTAAAACGGTAGAGCTAAATAGCAAAGCGTCACTTTTAGGTGTTCCAATTGTACTTCCTTCTCTACACTATAGGTCTTATAGGTCAAACTTACTAGGCCGGGAACTGACTCTTGTAATATTTGAGTAATCGAACCTGTGAGGCTCTACGGATCGAGATAAGTTCGCACCCTGTGAGCTACGATCCGACAAAATTAGCGCAGCGTAACTATTTTAAATAACGTAAAGAAGCGGTACACTGAATATATATTATTTTGAAGCATTCAAGTTGCCAGGCCCTGATTGTTCCTCTACATTTAATAAACAGGACATGGTCGTCTGGTTTCCTAAGCAGGGTTGCGTTGAGTTATGAAACAGCGTCAGCGTTTTAGGCATTCCAGCATTGATCGCCAACTCTGGAACACGTGCCGTCAAGCCAGGTACATAGAGCACCATTTTTGACCTTACTTACCATAGGAACTGTAACGCCGATAGCGTGCTAGATGTTTATTAAAGCTAACGGTTGATGAAAGCAAATGATGGTATGCCTTTTTTCTATCTTATTTTTGTTCAAGGATGAGGAAACACTTGAGGTTTTTTGTCAAATCAATTGTTTCCGTTTTTCTCAGGCACCCGTTTCTTGCTATACAGAGACAACAACAATTGTAGGCGTTTTCCTGTGCTCGACAGCTGAACCAGCGTATTTAAATGTATTTTTCCTTCTGTCTTGTATTATACATAAGCCGACTTGTCCAATGCTTGCTGCAAATCTACTACGTCTTGGCTCTTTTGAATTTTCTTAGAACGTGCCATTTTCAGGAGAGCTTTCTGTCGTTAGCCTTCGTTCGTCGGCTAATGCCACTTAAAGGACGAAAACCGCAACTTTTGGTGCTGTTTAGAGTAGCATCTGGGTAACGACTATAGCGCTTTCTACCCTTACAAATGAACGAGAGAGAAATGAGCCGATCTACAACAGCCGTAATAGATAGCCAACGAGGCTTGGCCTGTCCAATGCATGTGGTACATCGTTGTCGCTTAGCCGCGGCTTGGCAGAGATATTTCTACTGCTGTTGACGATGATTTCAAACTGGCGTCTCCTTGTCGTTGCTAGCACAGGTTGCCCTTACTAATAAACTGCTGCCTGCGCTTGAGGGGCTCCATCTCCTTGATTCAGTATTACACTCTGTCAAGGTTCGCTGTCCTTTTTAAGTTTGTAGACGGCAAACTTTGCCTAGATTGGTGTTGATTTCGACGTCTGTTAGGGAGCGGTGACAGGCAGCCGTAATGAAATTCCTTTGATAATGTAGTGCTGGTTAGGAAGATGCTTGGTCCAAAATTAACTGTGTGTTAATAGAAGTCTGAAGAAGCTACACCAGCGCCGCTGCTACGACAACGAATAGTATTGGTCAGCAATAGAAGTATAATGTAATGTTGGGGTGTTCGATGCTCTGTCAATGACCGATTGCGCCACACAATGGGAATTTGACGCCGTACTCTTTCTGTAGGAACGTTTCAAACTTGTTGCGTACGTTCGTCGTATTTTCAATTGACGGTGTTACATTCTAGAGTATGGAAAGGTATGACCTGACAGGCTGAAAAGCAGTAACGAGGAGAAGAGGAGTATTTTTTTTCATCCGAGATTTATTGTGTTGTTCTCTGAACATGAATTTAGTACTGGCTTTATGATTCAATGAAATGTTCAGTCCATCATAGTTGCCTTCGGTACTTTAGGTTATCTTTCTTCCACTCACTGTATCACAAAGTTAAGCGTTTTAGCGCAATTGTAGACGATACCCGTGTTTTGTCGGTTATTTTAAACGCACATATGTGGGCATGTTCTCTCCAAATCGACTTTACAGGCTCTGCTATAACGCAATGTACTTGTCTTGCTTTCGTGTCTCTGCATATGAAATTGTATGGCAGAGTACGTGTATTTTAGACAAACGGAAATGTACTTTCTCACACAGCTATCTTTTCCTTTCGTTGCGGTTGAAACGTAAATGTAGGGGT